AATCTAAACTTAAAAGGTAGACTGAATTCACATAATAAAAAGTTGGTAAAAGGAAATCACAATAAAAACATATTTGTTCAAACTCCATTCCAAAAACCAATGCATTTACTTAAATAATGAAAAATGAAATGATTTTGAACATTTTAATAACGAACCTCAATGGTACTCCTTATATTACTGGTATTATGGCATTTTAAAGAGTAGTAGACATTATACAAAAGAATCTTAAGAATATATTTACAACTGAAGAAGTAGAGTTAGAAATTGCAGTGGAGTAATTCATATTCAACATTTTCAAATATTTGTGGATTATTAGTTTATTACGTCACTACTCCATTAGTGCCAAAGGGATATCTATTTCAAATGGAATATCCATGCAAGCTAACTAAAGCAGCAAATGGGGATTATTAATTTCAAGAAATTCCAAACCTGATATAATCACAAACTTGAAGACATATATGAAGCAGAAGCAGAAAAAAATTACAGTGCATAGTCACCATTAGAATTAAACATGTAGTGGATAGTAATTGGAGGGAACCTTCAAGTCTCTGAGAATAAAGATATACTTCGTATTCTAGAACTATTAGCTAAAACTTACAGCTACATGTTAATGTCAACAGTAAGATCCACTAGAGCAATATGAGAACTACCTTTAGATTATGGTCCTAAAAGTAAGTAATACGATTTTAGACAAAACTGTCACTCAAAGATGGAATGAAAGAACTTGAAGAAAAATAGAAACTGCAGAGAAAAAACGTTATTATAGAGTTTACTAAAAACAACACTCAATTCAATGTATCAGCTTATACACCTTATTGTGTAAGGTGCATTTTAACATCACCTTATACACCTTACCGTATCATTTTAGTCACTTCACACACATATCTAATTTAAACAGCACATCATTTAGACACAAAGTTGCTGAAAAGTGATTCTCAATCTATTTCGTGTGCTCACTATATTAAAGGCACTGTCAACACTAAATTAACATCAATTTCTCATACGGCTAAAAATCCTGCTCATGATCTTAAAAAAGAATCCGAATGAATGCCCAAAATCTTTTAATTTCATTGTTCAAAACAAATGTGGGCTTGCTGTTCATATACCTAAGACTTTGTTCTTGCAAAGTTGGGTTGATTGGGTTGATATCAGTTTCAATAGTCTCTTACAAAAAGCATTGGTGGGTATTGCTCGAAAGTGCATGGTGTGATGTAGTCTAATGGGTATTTCCATTTTTTTGTATAAACTACTCCAAGAAACACAAATTAAGGCCTATGTTTTAGTGTTTATCTTACAGGGGAACAGTGAGGCCAAACAAAAGAACAACGTTATGAGAATGACTGCTATAAAGTACTCCAAGCAACTCAAATTAAGGTCTATGCCTACTTTTATAGTCTATTATTGTTCTTGTACTTTAGCTATAAAAAACTGATTTAGAACAACGAATGTGAGCGTAGTAAGCAGAACTCAAAAGCAAATATCTGCACATAAGTGTTAGGAAGGAGTTGTTAGAAAAAACTTACTGCAGCCATTTAAGTTAGAACAGATTTAATCTTCTCATAGTTTTTGTTTTTGCTGTTAACATGGAGTTAGCATAATAAAACCCTCTTTTATACCCCCCACTTCGCAATCTTATAAGGCCATTTTATCAAACATTTTCATCATTAAAGTATTAAACATGGAATAAGAAAAAAAAAAGTATATGAGTCATAGCTTAGTAAATTGGACACTCGTTTGAGAATTGCATTTTATTTTGAAAGAAAAGTGAAGTTGTACCATCAGAACTAAACACAACGAAATATACAAACTTCCTGAAAGAAAAAACGAAAATTAGACAACACACTTCATAATCATTTACATGCTAAAGAATTAGATTTATGTCTATTATTACCAAAGAAAGATCACTTAAGCATTTCTTCAAACATGATATATGCAAAACATAAGACACAAAATTCAAATTGAAAATAAAGTTGTGATGTATCTATTAAAGATTGAATGGTAAGTCTAATAACTAAAATATGCTAAAGTGTAAATAAAGCAACATCTGTTGTAATCTAATTATAACGGAATATAAATTAAATATCTGTATTTATAAAATTAACAATCAGCTAAAACCTTTTTGACGATTGCAGAAAACAAACTTTGTGCTTCCATGCGCTTTGATAGAATTTGATGCTCACCTGGAATGATTGTTTGATATTCAAAAGATTTGTGACTGTTGGTCCAAAATAGGACGTTTGTAGGCTTTTAGGAAAGCTACCTAAGAACACTCAAGCAGGAATTGGGAAAGTAATACGAATAAGGAAAGAACCTAAAAGTGTTTAGTTGCCAGAAATAGCATTTATAATTCGTTTCGTTAGTTTGAATTACAAAGTGCCTTTTATAGGCGTATACAATTCGTAACCGCTACCGATAATAATGACTAATTAATTACAACATTAATACAGAATTAAATACATAATTAAACGTGCATTAATTGCTTGACTGTTACTTTTCCTGGCTGGCAGGTCGGCCGAACTGGCAGACTTCCCGTTGGGATGGTAGGCAGGCTCTAGGTTGTGGACCTGGATCCACGGGTCCAAGTTCGGGGCTTGGGCCCATTAAGCTCTGGGCCCAGTCCCATAACTTCATCATTGACTTTGTGAGATAACATACTGATAAGGTTTTGGCTTTTGAGATAGGGAATTAGGGATGCTACATGAGTAGGGGTGAAATGAGGAAAAGCTGTAGCCTAATCTCGAGTGCGATTCTTAGAGCGATGAAGAAAGCGTATTCGTGAATAAACGAAGAATTTTAATTCGGAAAAAAATATGCAGAGGGAAGGTGCGGAATGAGCGGAGAAGTTTACACATAGGATAAAGAACACCGTGAAGAAGACACGTTGGATGGAGGGTAGAATAGTAAAATGAGGTGCTATTTTTTTTTATATCCCAAAATTAACTTCCCATTTCGGATTACGATGCTTGACCGAGGATAAAGCAACCCGATCCATGTTCATACTCAGATTACTTTTAGTAAATAAAATTTACATTTTGAGAAACTACATTAAAACTGTTACAAAGGCTAATAAAAAAAATATAAATTTGATAAAAAAAATCGATATATAAAACATAAGATTAAAAGTAATTTAATTTGACCATGTGAATAGTGACTGTGAAGTTCATTTTGGGACGAAGGGATGTACATAAATAGAATTGAGTTTACATGAGTTATGAGTATATTGATACCAACACTTCGTCCTTAGGGAGTCAAATTTCTTTCTTGACTTCTCTAATAAAGGAATCTATCTTTAACTCAAAAGCTCAAGATGCCAAGACATGCAACATTTGCATGTCTCGCAGGCATCTTACGGACTTCTGCCCAAAGCTCCAAGAAGAATACCTTGCACAAATTGATGATGTACCTCACATGAGGTATGATCCATTCTCCAACTCTAATATGTCTACGGAGGACATGGTTCGGGCTCTTACTAACAGTGTGACCGTCATGCAACAAAACATGGTGCAATTCCAAAATGAGACCAAGTCTAGCATTTTAAACTTGGAAACTCAAATGAGTCAAATAGTCGGAGTCGTGAGTAGGCTTGAAGCGAGGGATTCAGAAAAAACTCCTTCTCAACTAGAATGTGATCCTAAACAGCAAACTTTTGCAATCACATTGACAAATGAAAAGGAAATGCAAAGGAGATCCAGAATCCAGAAGAAGTAGATGAAGAAAAAGACACGGAGCTCCAACTGGTCAAAGAAGAGGATAATCTGAGCTTCAAGGTCAAATATCTATCCTTGTCATCTTTTGAGGTACCCCCATCAATTCTAAAATTTTTGAGGGAACCTCATAAACATGGAAACGACAATGACATTTCTGAAATCCTCTTCAAAATTGAGGGATCGAAAAACTTTTCATTGACCATAGTAAACGATAATTTCTTCCCTTTCCTCCCACCGCATGAATCAATGACAATCCGGATATTTGATCTTGGAAAGATTCCCAAATTGAAGAGTCGAGAAGTTGAGCACTCCTATGAACATCCTAGGAGTGAAAGTGTGAAAAAGATAAAATATCACGATCCAAGTTTAAATGATTGAACACAATGATGGCGTCGTGCCGCGACGTTAAATAAGGCGCTTCTTGGGAGGCAACCCATGCAAGGTACGTTTACTTTTTTTTTTTTACACATTAAAAAAAAATGGCCTGGGATTGGACCCGTCCGGGTATAAAACCCTACCCAGTCGGGTTACCTCTTAAACAAAGCACCCGACCAACCGTCCCGGGCGAGGCAAATGAAGAACAAGAATAAATCAACTGCCCGACTGGGTAGACCCCTATACCCGGCCGAGCAACCCAGCAAAAACTCTCTGCCTCGGGTGAACAGTTTACGCCCGACCGGGTCAGTCACTATACCCGGCCGGGCAACACAACAAAAACCCTCTGCCTTGGGTGAACAGCTTACGCCCGACCGGGTAAAATACCCCACCGACCGGGCGAACGGGAAACAGACCTATACCAGGTCGGGCTCACCTCTTCCCCTCCCACTTCATCTTCCTCCCTACGCACAAAACCCCCAAAATCCATCATTTTCAACTACCCAAACCTTCGGATCTTCATCTTCCCTTAATCAAATCCACTAAAAACCTCATTTTCTTCATCTCCTCACTTCCTTCTTCATTTCTATACCCATAAAAACCCTCAAAACCTTCCAAATCAACCAAACCCAAAAACCCTACCCAACAATTCGAAAATCTCCATTCTTGGACATTCAAGGTCCGAAATCTTCCCAAAAATTCTCAATCAATACCATATTCTTGCTCTTCTCACCATCCTCTTCAACATCATACCCATAAAAGCCATTCAAACCTCACCCTACCCAAAAGTCCGAAAATCCTTTAAAAAAAATATATTGTCATGTAAATAAAGTATGACAACAAAACGTAGAAATGAGAATGAAAAGGTTAGATCATGCATTATATATATTCAGAAAGAATACTAGGTAGGTGATGGTTGATTGATGGAATATATTAAGCCAAAAGCCAAAAATTGTTATGGGTCTTGGTGGTGATGAGGTAGCCGCCGTGTTTCTTGCATTTCCTCCTCACAGCGATGGTCATACAGTGGGCGTTGTGGATGCAGTAGTTGACCACATTTGACTGTTTCCCGGACAGCATGGACCGCATGTGCCACATCACCTATCTTTTTCTCTGCCCCAAAACCAGCAGAGAAGCCCTCTGCTGCTTAGCTGCTTCAACGATTATCGCGCCTTTCTCCTTTCCTTCTTCTACTACCATCTCCACTTGCACCTACATTATCCATCACAACTTTATATGAATACCTTATTTTATGGAAAATTATACGGTGCACTCCTAAATTGTGAGTGCACCTATCGACACCTTTTCTTATCCAATTACATTTTAGTATTGTGTTACTAAATATGATTAAAGACTTGTAGTGAGGATTGAGTTATTGATCTAAATATGATTGAATTGTTTTTTAAATTTCTATGCTTAATCAAAACTTACACATTTAAGAACTACATTGAAATTTCTACTGCATCATGAAAACATCATATCTCAATAAGAGAAAAACAAGTTGTTCTGAATAAGAGAGAGTTCAAATCATTTCTAGACTCATCAACAATTAAAAATAGGCGGCCTCTACTTTTCTAAGAAAGAATAATATCCTATTTAGTAATCACTACTTTCAACTTATTAGTTAATGTTTTTTATCAAACTTGTAACTATTTTTGATTTTGCGCGCTGAATTATTGTGTAATAATCAAAATAAGTAAGATTCGCGTTACTCTTCTCATTGAATTGATTGAAAATGCGATGAAGACTAACTATGTTTTCATTTAATTATTCCTCATATTTTTAATAAAAAATAGGATTAGTTACCAACACCTTCATTAATTATGAGAGATGGGATAAGAACATAACAATGAGTATTTTGAATTTTTTCCTGAGTTAATGCTAATTAATTAAATAAATAATAACGAAAATATGATTGAGTTAAAAATAATTACCAAAACTCCGCCGAGTTCCAAAAAGAAGTCGTCACTTCATGTGGGACTTATGTGAACATGAGACATAGAGGCAAGCTAAATGGCTAAGTCAAAGATGAGACCTACATATTAAAAAATACGTTTTTCTTTAAATTGTTATAACTTTTAAATTTTTTCTTTAATTTGTGTAAAAAGTATATCATAGTTTGTAAATTTTTGTTATCTTTCATATGACACCATACAATCTTCAAAGTTTATAATTTGAGGTTTTGCCGCTTTTAGTCCTCTAACTATTACGTCACTGACACTTTTGGTACTTGATTTTGCTCTTTTTCACTTTAGTTATTCGACTATTGTGCGAAAGACACTTTTGGTACCCGCCTTTAAAATTTTGCATAATTAGCCCTTCAACTTTCATAAAAATGACATTTTTTGTCCTTCAACTTTTATAATAGTGAGATTTGTAGTCCTTCATGTATTATGTCAAAATTTCCATAGTGGAAGGACTAAAAGTGTCAACTTGATAATACCTAGGAGACTAAATGTGAGAAATTTTGAAGTCGAGGACTAAAAGTGTCTCTTACACAATACACAGAGACTCAAACTAAAAAATTAAAAATCGAGTACCAAAAATGTCAATAACACAATATTCGGGGGACCGAAAGTGACAAAAACTCTTTTTAACTTTTTATTATCTTTCACTTTTTTATTCATGTAAATCACCATTTGAACTGACGACTTTGTTTAACTAGAGTTTTAGCCGGCAATATTTTGAGAATTGTTTTTATCTCAATCCTAGCTATTTTTTGTAATTATTTATTTAATTATCTTTAATTCAGGAAAAACCTAGAGTATTTTATTTCAAAAAGCATGCTACTTTTTGTTTTTCTTGTGAAATTTTTTCTGTAATCGATTTAAGTCCAAATATCATTTTGGCATGGATAGTTTGTTTGCATATTAACTACTGTTACTATTTCTACCCCATAAAATATTCAGATTTGCGTTGTGAGTCTAGTGACATTAGTTGGACTTTGGAGGACCATTGGACTTTACCAAACGGACGATTACATAAATGGGCCGCATGCACTAACACAGGTGGATTCACTCTCAATATATTGTTGGACCACTAAATGTGCCCCGTCACCCCGTGCACTTTTCTTCTTCTTCAATACATTGTTCCTTTTTTATAAATCTCCCACCCAGGAGCCCCCACCCTGACCTGACAAGATGGTGCGGAGGTTAGTCACGGTGACTCAGTTAGCAGAATGGCAGTAGGCTCATACATCCGTGCGCACCAGAGGCCCAGCCTTATTTCAGGTTCTGTGACCTCCATCCGGTCGCTGCGGGGATTCGAACCTTGGTCCATTGTTCCAAATCTCCCACCACTCGACCAACTGAGCTACCCGTGCGGGTTCTTCTTCTTCAAAACATAGTGATGTACTATGTTATCTAATACTCCGTATTCAGTTCGTATACCATGGGATCATCCTACGGTGAGTATTATGCTCCACCCTTAAAACGACGTAGTTTAGCACAATTTTTTTTAAAAAAAATCGCGTGAACAGTACACGCGAGTAGAGTAACTTTTTTTTTCATTTTATCCTGGTAGCATGAATGATGTAATTCACGTGTAAATATATGTAACTCACGCTGATAAAAAAATGTAACTACAAGCAAGTTGAAATGTAACTTGTCTAATACGGATTATAAGAAATAAAACATTGATGTCAATGAAAATAAGGAATCTAATTGTTCAATGACTTTACGGAAATAGTGAATATGTTTTGTTTTTAATATTAAGACCATAAATAATGTTCATTTTCTTAAAATCATTTATTTTTCACCAAAAATGATTTTTTTTTTGAAAAAAATGATTTTTTGTTTCAATAGCAAGGGATTACATAAATAGTGAATATGTTCTGTTTTTTATATCAAGGCCATAAAATATTTTTTAAAAATCAGTTTTTTTTGCCTAAGAATGCACTTTTTTTGCAATTTTTTGCATAAAACTGATTGTTTTGTTTGAATAGCAGGGCTTTATGGTGTTATGTAACTCATGTTATAGAAAACGTGACTCACGCTGATGGAAAATCTAATTTAGGTGTATGCAAAATGTAACTTGTTAAAGCAAGTCGTCTGAATGTAACTCGCGTATAAGAAGATGTAACTCACGCATACAAAGATGTAACTCACACATAAAAAGATGTAACTCACGCATTAAAAGATGTAACTCACGCACAAGAAGATGTAACTTCATATACTATCAAATGTAATTCGAGAAATTGTCTATAAACATAACTTAGACATGTAGAAATGTAAACCACACACATTTATCAAATGTAAGTCGAAATAAACAAACTTTATGTCTTAAAAACATATAAAAGAGATAAAAATATTATATATATATATATATAATATTGCAACTAAAACCAATAAAAGAGATAAGAAATTGTGTTATAGATAAACGTAATTGTAATCTTATTTTTAATATCTTAATAATGGAGATGAAGATAATTGGAAAAGAAAAAGAAAGGAAGACAAGAAGAAAGGGAATCGGTTCAAAAAGCAGGGCAAAAGAAAAGGAAGGGGAAGCAGGGAAGAAAAGTTAGTGGAAAGGTGGGAAGAATAAAAAAAACTGGGGGAAGGAATGGTGCTGGAGAAGAAACGGTCGAAGAAGAGAAAACGCTGTTTTTAATTACCGAAACGGTACCGTATAATTTGCGCCTAATATTTATATCTAAAGAGTAGTTTACTCCCAATAAATATCTTAGCTAGATTTTCTACAAAAGTAATTTTCCATTCTTAATATATACTACATCCGTCCCGTTGAAAGGTTTCCATGGAAAAACGACACGCTTATTTAGACAATAATCAAATAAGGTAGTTTGAGTATATTTTGAGAAATAATTATAATAGGTATATAATGTAATATGGTTAGTTTTGATAACTGTGATGTTAAAAATGTATTATTGTTAATTAATATCTAATAATTAATTTTTCATTTAATTAAGATGAGAAAAGTGGGAACCTCTCTATGCGACGAAGGGAATAGTATTTTTGAATATATTTATCTCTTACTTTGATATTGCTAATATATTTATCATAATATTTAGATGTTATTGATATATGGATCCCCCATTGTAAATCATGTAACTATGAGGGACAATCAAATTAGTCAAGTAGAATTTTGATAGTATCAGCTAAGAAATATTTTCTTGAAGGAAAAATGGTTAGATCAAATAAGTCCTCTATTGTTTCAAATCTGTCACTTAAGTCTTTGTACTAAAAAAGTATCATATAAGTACTCTACTTTAACAAATTGATCAGTTTGGTCATTTAATTAGTTTTGACATGTAATAGTAGGTATTTAATATTTAAAAACTCAATATATTTGTTAAAAATTGGATATATATATATATATATATATATATATATATATATATAACTTGTGAAGATTTTCAGAATGTCAAAATCAATATTTATAAAATTTTGAAATTATTTGTATATTCTAGATCTATTTCAAAGGTTTTTAATTTTTTTTTATTTTCACTTTATTTTTCAATTCTCTGATTTTTTTAGTTTATTTTATTTTAAATTTTTTATATTATTTATCCATTTTTACATTTTACTATTTTTTTTATTATTATTACGTATTTTTTTCAAATTTATATGATTTTTTGTAAGATTTATATATTTTTCTAATTGAATTTTTAAAAAATAATCTACTATATTTGGTCAAAATGACTTGATTGATTGTATTCTAAAAGTAATTGTACTTATATGGTGCTTTTTTAAGTAGAAGAACTTAAGTGATAGATTGAAAATAGTAGAAGCGATCGTTTTTACTTTCTTTAATAATGTGAACTATTTAATATTGAAACCATTAAACTAGCATAATATGTAAAATATTACCACATGTAATTACTAACCCCGGGTCTCCTTGTTTGACAAGTATGTTTCAAGGAGCAAAGAAGATCATATGCCGTTTGGTCCAGCTCACAGTTGCAGGAACTTCCCGATCCACCTGATCGATCCAAATACCCAGCCTTAATTAGCTTTAATTTCCGTCGCGTATTATTATAATCTATCTCCAAATGAGGGTAATATATATATATAGCACTAGCTAGTATGATAATATAATGTTGGTTCAGATAAGAGCTGAAACTTAGAAGTATGTAAATTTTGTTTATGAATGTCTATAAAAGAATTCCCAAAGTGGAAGTAAAGCTAAATTGGAATTCGACAAAATAAGAGAAACATAAACAAAACATAAAGAAGGTGTACAAATAGAAAGTAATTATGTTTTAGGTGTCTTAATTATTTTTATTAGATTTAAATAGTAGTACTACATAACGTTAGTCCTATTTGTATACCTTGTTTGAAGGGCTTGGTTACGAGCAAAAGGATAAGGGTGTCGTTCTTGGTATGAACAGAATGAGAAAGTGCCCATTGCAGAGCAGCTTTGGCCTCATTACTCCCATCGACCACCACCAGCACTCTTGTCTCGGCAATGCCGCGGCTGCTGCAGCTGATGGTGGATTCTGACTCATCATCGTCTCGTGGCGCGGCAGGCGGAATGAACTGGTGGTGGTGGTGGTGCTCATCATCATCACTGTTGAAGCTCATCTCTGTGCTGTTTTTGCTAGAAAACTCATCACTTCTCATCCCCGCAGCATCACCTCCTCCCATTATGAGGTGATCGCACCTCTTGTATGGCTGTACAGGCGATCTGGAACTAACGTGGACGACCATGGCCTGCCTGAGACGATATCCCGCGGTTATCATTTCCTCGCTCCCGCCGGCCGACGCCTAAGCTAAGCTTTGCTGCTCAACTTTGCGTTATATACTCTGTATATATGCAGTGTGTCTTAAGGTCCTTGGGTCACTTTCGGGGTTGGTTCTGGGAGAGGCGCAGCTAAGCTAGCATATATCCTAAATTAATGTATGATAAAACTCATTAATTTAATGTTTCAATATGTCTTCTGTAATCAATAGTATATTTCAAAAAAGTTCAACAAATTATAGTTACGGAGCTAGTGTTACATATATTCACTCTGCTCAAGTTTACAATTCACACTTCAGGATTGATTTCATCAAAATTAAAAGTATAGTTTTAGAAATAGTGATTATATTGAACAAGAGTACAAGAGTGAAATATGGAATATAGGGGGCAGGGTGGGGTGACCACCCCCTTTCGAAGTTCAGAATTTTCTATTATATAATCCCTCCGTCCCTAAATAAAAGCATCTGTTTCCTTTTCGGGTCGTCCCTAAATAAAAGTTCTCTTTCCTTTTTTGGCAAACAAAACAGTGCAAAACAGAGCAAAACAGTGCCAAACAGTATCCAAACAGTGCCAAACAGTACCAACCAAACTCATTTTCTTAAAATGTGTGGAAAACGAATGGATACTTTTATATAGGGACGGAGGGAGTAGATAGTATGTAATATTTTCATAAATTTTTCATACTTTAATTAGATATATTGGTGTTAGCCCCCTTAACTTTTAGTTTTCAAAATTAATATATAATCTTACATAATATAATACTTCAGATCATCTGAGATATAAAAGAACAAAATTCAAAATAGTTTATCTTTATTTGGATAAATAAATAAAGGAACAACTCATTGATTTAAGATTTATGATACTTAGTTTACAAAAAATCCTAGTTTTACAATTAGTATTCAATTTAATAAAATATCAAACAATATTAAATAGCAGACCCTTTAGTTAAACATTTTCATATAATGTGAAGTGAATCCAAAATACAGATGTTTCTGGGACACTACAATCACACAATTCCTTTACCTCTTACTTTTTAAAAAAGATCTTTTACACAAATAATAAACTTTAACTTGTTCTAACATTAGTACAAATATAATGTGCATCATCTAATCTCATACATATTATTTTAATATTAAGAAAACTCATTGTGGTTTATGAACACCCTTGGACCTTTGTAGACAAAAACTGTGATTCCAAAAATAATTCTTTATATCAATAAGATTCCTGCAGTTCAATAAGAAAAAATTTATTTAAAAAGTTTTGGTGAATGTGTATCTTTTAGAATCTTTATATTCAAAAAAATTCATAAAATATTAACCTTTTTATTTTCAAATAACATTCCTTTGAGTTCCCATTTCTTATGCTTTTTTTGTCCTCATACTTTAATGTATATATACTTTTTAAAACAATTTCCTAACTAGGAGTAACACAAAATTGTTATACTTTTATTCCATCGAGAGTGATAACTGACATGTTTTGGAATTACCAAACTATACTCATACTAATACTACCTCCGTCCCATAAAATTCTTCCCACTTTGACTTGGCATGGAGATTAAGAAAGTGGAATAATTTGGAAATGTATGATTGTGGTTGTGTAAGAAAAAAGTGAAATCAATGTGAACCACACAAATTGTCCAAAAATGGTAAGTGGGAAGAATTTTTTGGGACGACCCAAAAAGGAAAGTGAGAAGAATTTTATGAAAGTGAGAAGAGTATATATTTTCCATGTTTGGGAGTTCACTTCTATTTAGAAATGAAAAACATGACAGTTCTATTTTAGAATTACAAAACGTTTTCACTCGTACTTCAAGAATTTTCTTATACTTTTTTCTAAATTACTTCGATCATAAAATCATTTTTTTTTATCATTGTGAAAGCTTAGAGTGTAGGGGATGTAAATACCGTGTATGTATTAATGGGGGTTTTAATGAAATATAGACAAAGCCGCGGAAAAAAATTCGCCCTCTCGCCTAAAATCCTGTATGTATAATTTTTATGAGAAATAAAATTCATTATTTTTGGTGAATAGAATCCGACCAAAATTTGCCAAAGTCAAAGACTGCACCAAACGTGAATCATTCATGGTTGTTTCAACTTTTCAGCAAAGTTTAATTTCCAAAGAAAATTTCTCCATATTGTGACAACTGAGAAGAAAAAGATGAAGCAAGTAATAAAACGTTGTTCTTCATTTTCAAAGCCGTGGGGCTTCCTCTACTCTACGATGAAGCCGGACTCCGAGAGACCCATGCTCATGACTTCGCTCGTTGAATTAAATAGTCAATCAAAAACTATTTTTTAATAACTAAGCATGTTTGTAGATGGACCAAAATTCTACGTTGAAGGCCAAAATAAGTACATGCAAACTAAGTACTAGTATTTATTAGGGTGAGAAGTTAATGGGAATTTTATAGATGTATGCTGAAAGATATTAAATGTTTTAGAACACTCACAAACGTTATTATAGAAGATTGTGGAATATTCTAATACATTGTGGAGTTTTGTAAAAAATGTAAATTTGTTCAAATACAAGTGTGGGGAAGCATCCGATCTATGTGATCTATAACAATCTGAAGAAATATAAATACATCTACATTCTTCAAGAAGATTGTAGAAGAACTTGGATATTTTAGAGATTAGACGTATGAGTAGGGGTTAGACTCTTTAGCTCATTCACTAGCAATCTTAAGGAGAACTCTTAAGAGTGTGATAGTGAGAGACTACGCTTTCTTGTGAAAGAAGAGAACCTAAGGTTATCTCTTAATGAGTGTGAGTGTAGAGTTTTCTTGGACATGAGAGGAGACGATCCAAGAATGCTACCAACAAGTGTGAGTGAGGTAGAGACGTAGAGCGAAATAGTATCAAATACAATAGAGTGAAATGAGCTACCTCTTTGCTTGTATCTCTCTTATGTTGGGTGTGTTTCGGAAAAAACGAATAAATATTAATTAATAAACAAAATAGCTAAAAGAAAACAGAAAATAAGATGGAGCAGATTTTAGCCGGAGCAGATGGAGCAGATTTTAGCCAGGTCGCCCGCGCACACGAGTCGCAGTTTTTCTTCTCCGTTTCGGGATTTGATCGGCACCCCCCCCCCCTGCGTGTAAGAGAGAGCTTTTACCCTTAGGAATCTTAACTCCTTAAAAGAGGCTTCCCTTTATAAGGGGGTGAAAATTCCTTGAGTTTTTCGGTGTGGGATAAAACACACTAGAAACCCATCATTTTCTCAGTTTTTCCATTTCAACGAGTGAACTTCGAGAATCAATTTCTCATTCACCCGTTATCCGTTTTGAGTGTACCATATATCGAATTGTAGCCCTTAACAAGGACAATCCGAAACCACTTTGACCCGACCCAAATCGGAAGTGGACCCCACTCAAATAATTGCCCCAAAATGACCATTTAATGCAATTTTTAACACATTTTTCCAACATCTTATACATCTCATTGAGTAACACAAATTTGTACGTAGTATTATGTATTATTTTTTTAGTATTTTTTTAAGTGTAAATAGGCGAGTATACCATATTCTTGCAAGTTGGAGGTCCTAAACAAGGTTAGGTTGTGTTTCATATTGAGCATATATAATTATTATTTATTATTAGTTATATTTAATGTATCACACTTGTATATATCATTGGTATTATCCCATTGGTATTATCCCAAGTCTAACGATAGTTAGCTACTCTGCTTTGTCACATTAGCTCCAAACGTTATATATACTCATGTACGTTCATATGTAATTTGTAGTCAATCTACTCTCATCAATATATCTCTTGATGGTATCAACAACTCTTCTCTCACGAGCTTTTTTCGTGATGGCTATCACACCAACTACATTTGTTGTGCCTCTTAATTACAACATCAACTCACTTCCCTATCGTGCTCACCACATACAACTTCCCTGTCTAGAAGTGTCAAGTTCACTCTGCCCTTGTTGGCCTTGGTCTTAAAGGCTATATTGACGACTCTCTTACTGTACTCGATCTATACAGTGATGAAGCCAAATCTCAGCCTAATTCATGTTGTGCTATTTTGTATCGTCATGATTGCACTACCATCAGTGCATTACTTGGAAATTGCTCAGACGCTATTTGACCATTGATTTCATCGGCCACAACGACCAAACATGCATGGGACAAACTCTCCCTTATGTATGCTAGAACTTCACGCGAACGAATTGTTTCCCTCAAGACCTCTATATCTTGCGCAAAAAAGGCGAGTGAGTTGACATGGTTGACATGTCAATAATAACTAAGGTTTATATGGTCAACAACTAAGTATTTGACATTGTCGATGTTGCTGACATGGTTGGTGTGATTGTGATCACTCTTCAGATTCTTTACTTTCACAACCAACCCTTCAATCTTTGTTGTTAGATTCATGTGACGAACACTTTGTCGTGATGTGCGTCAAAATAATACATCAATACAACGACTGTACGTAGTATAGTGAAGTAGAGTTCGTATCCACGGGGAATGAAATACTTTTCTTTTATGAAACTAGTAATTAAAGGGGTTTTTGGGATTGAATGATTTGATTTAATTAAACACTAAGATGAACAACTTACATGAGATTTAATTCAAAGATAAAAGAACTTGGCTTTGCTACTTTTCACTTGTTGATATATTTAGTCGATCCTTGTTATATCTATAACTTACCCCCTCTCGAATACTCAATCGATGAGTATCTCCAATTTCTAACTCCTTGATGAAATCAATTGAGATTTATAACTTCAACACAATGGTTTCGGTTTAACCAACAAAATTAATCCCCCTTAAGTTTATTAACCACGACCATGCATTAATAAACCGAAGTTACTTACTTGTGAAACCATCAACGATTAACCGTCGGTTCGTTGATCGTTTCTAGTAATAATTAATATTGAGATGTTAACTAATTGTCATCTTAACAACACTCACCAACATTAATATAGGATAGATTAAGGGAAGAATTAATATTCAAGGAGAGAAGTTGAGAAAATAACTCACAACTTTAATAATCAACAAGCTTCCAGATTAAA